GTGGGAGGAAACCAGAGCACCTGGAGGAAACCCACGCAGACACAGGGAGAATGTGCAAACTCCACACAGTCACCTGAGGGTGGAATTGAATCTGGGTCCCTGGTGCTGTGAGGCAGTCCCAATATTCTGATGACTTTGCTGAATTTGCTTGTAGCGGTGTTCAGAAGGTGCATCAGTGTTTCTTCAGCAGCTCCAGATGATTGGAACTCCTGGTCTGCTTCCTGGTCTCTGAAGCATTGCTGTACCACAGCAGTGTGATAACTCTCTCCCCAACCACACTGTGACCACCTTCACCTGAATGTGATTACCAAGTTGTTTTTGCAAGTGATCTGATGTTGGACCATGGGGGAACAGCCTGTGTGCGGTTTAGGATTGTGCCAGATTAATTTGTGATTTTTTTTTTTTGCAGGCAAAATGTAGAGAGGGAGAAAATTTTATACCAAAACTGTAAAATAGTGCAGCAGATTGAGACCATTCTGCCCATCAATTCTTTATCAGCTTTTTTGAAGAGTAATACAATTAATCTCACTTGCTTGGCCTTATCTATATCCCTGCAGTTTCTAGTCTTCAAGTCTCCAACCAAATCTTTTTTGGAAGGTTCTTATAGAAACAAAGTCAGAAATCTCACAACACCAGGTTATAGTCCAACAGGTTTATTTGAAATCAAAAGCTTTCAAAGCCTCACTCCTCCTTCAGCTGTCAGTGAGAGAGGCAGTATCAGACTCAGAATTTATAAGTAAAAGATCAAAGGTTCAAACCACTGATGAGGATGTATTAAACAAACCTAAGATGCTGTTAAATCTTTAATCATTTAGAAGGTTTTAATTGATTAATATGTATATGTAAAACCCGAATTCCTTTCAAGTCACTGTCCTGAAAGAACTAAAGGTTTTATCAGTGAAAAGAAGAGATGACATTTTAGGTCAGACAATGCATGTTAGACGTGAGGCCTTGTTTAGAATCTGTTTGTGTTTTGGTTTGGAGTCAGACTGGTTTTATTTCTAAAGTGGGAATTTATAAAATGTCACATTGACTGACTGTCCTCGCCTGCAGCTTATGACAGAGACAACGTTGGCCAAGTCACATGGGTATCTGCCGTGCACACGTGGTGGGTGGTGTTCCCACGTGTGAGGGTAGATTATAGAAACAGCTTCTCCTGCCTTATGCTACAGGAAAGATGTCGTTAAACTAGAAAGGGTTCAGAAAATATTTACAAGGATGTTGCCGGGGTTGGAGGGTTTGAGCTTTAGGGAGAGGTTGAATAGGCTGGGGCTATTTTCCCTGCAGTATCGGAGGCTGAGGGGTGACCTTATAGAAGTTGAGAAAATCATGAGGGGCATGGCTAGGGTGAATAGCCAAGGTCTTTTCCCCAGGGTAGGGGAGTCCAAAACTAAAGGGTATAGGTTTAAGGTGAGAGGGGAAAGATTTAAAGAGAGACCTAAGGGGTAGCTTTTCCAGTCAGAGGGTGGTGCATGTATGGAATGAGCTGCCAGAGGAAGTGGTGAAGGCTGGAACAATTACAACATTTAAAAGGCATCTGGATGGATAGATGAATAAGAAGGGGTTAGAGGGACATCGGCCAAATGCTGGCAAATGGGATTAGGTCAGATTAGACTATTTGGTCGATGTGGACAAGTTGGACTGAAGGGTCTGTTTCCGTGCAGAATGGCTCCATGATAGGGACAGCATGGGGTTAGATACAGAGTAACGCTCCTTCGACATTGTCCCCATCAAACACACCCAGGACAGGGTCAGCACAGAGTCACATTTACCTGGAGGTAGGTGGGATTGGAAAAGACAGTGTTTGAAAAGTGATTGAAATTTGTGGTGTACCTCACTGTGTTGGTGTTCCCGCAGTGCTGCTGACCTGGGTGAACTGTTTCCGTGTGCGGTGGGTTACCTGTGTCCAGGACCTCTTCACCGCTGGCAAGCTCCTGGCCCTCGGCCTCATTATTGTGATGGGCTTTGTGCAGATCTGTAAAGGTGAGTGACACATTGCAGGAAAAGGGAATTGAAATGGCACCCTATGTAATGTGGAGAACGCACATAGCTCCAACACAGTGCTAACAAGGACACAAACCAGTCATACACCCCTCTCGATTCTTATTCCCATTAAAAGGGTCTGAGATATGTAAAGGAAAAAGGAAGTGGTACCATGTGGAGTGACATTGCAAACTTTTCACTGTACTCCTGTACTTAAGTACATGTGACAATAAAGATTGAATCCTAAAAAAAGAAATTTAATTGAGATTTTTACTCACCAGTAACCATCTTCCACTGTTCCCAAAAGGCAGAATTATCCCTAGTGTGGCGTGTGTGTGAGCGTGTGTGTGCATGTGTGCGTGTGCATGTGTGCGTGTGTGAGGGGGTAACCTCCCTGGGTTTATACTCTGTGCCACGACTGATAAAGGTGAGAATCCCATTTGCCTTCTGACCCTCAGTCAGACAGACAGGATCCCACACTCACAGCATTGAAGATGATGCAGCTAGTTCTGGCAGTCGCCCTAGCCCTCAATCAACATGAATCAACATCCCTCTATTAATGAAAGCTAACACACCATGCGCCTTCTTAACAACTCTATCCACCTGGGTTGCAGCTTTCAGGGAACTGTGAACATGAACCCCGAGATCCCTCTGCTCCTCCACACTGCCAAGAATCTTTCCATTAACCCTGTATTCTGCTTTCAAGTTTGTCCTTCCAAAATGAATCACCTCACACTTTTCAGGGTTAAACTCCATCCGCCACTTCTCAGCCCAGCTCTGCATCCTATCAATGTCCCTTTGTAACCTAGAACAGCCCTCCGCACTGTCCACAGCGCGACTCACCTTCGTATTGTCCGCGAACTTACTATTCCACCCTTCCACTCCTACATCCAGATCCACATGGAAAATGTGTTTGTTATGTTGTTCGTCGAGGGGGTGAAGGAGCGGGTGGAACAGAACCTCATTGTCTGAAACACAGTTTGGGGCAATCTGTGGATGTGAAAGATGCTATCTAAATTTATCTTCTTTATCTTACTGCCTGGATGTTATAGTGTGTTATTGGCTGCGAATCTGTGCTTTGTACATAACCCACAGACTGAATTCTCTCTTTCTCCAGGTCATTATGAATTTCTAAAGCCCAGTAACGCGTTTGACATTCAGACAGCTCCTGAAGTTGGTCACATAGCGCTCGCTTTCCTCCAGGGCTCATTCTCCTACAGCGGCTGGAACTTCCTGAACTATGTCACAGAGGAGCTGGTTGACCCATGCAGGTAGTGCCAGGATAAAGGGCTCTGTGAGCTTTCAAACTAGTGCCCAGCTCAGTCCTCCCAATTACCATGATGTACAATGGGGGCCAGTGACAATAGCACTGTCCGCTCACTCTTCGCTGCTGACTGACTGAGTTTTAGGGTGGATTAGATATTACTGGAACTCCCTCCTGAACAGCACTGAGTGTGTACCTAGCCCATTCTGCCCATTGAGCTAGTCCTACCATTCAATACCATCATGGCTGATTGAACACTTCAATACCTTTTACACACCCCATTCCCGTAACCCTGTTCCCCACTGGGAATCAGAAATCAATCAATCTCAACCTTAAACAAACTCAAAAACGATCTTCCACAGCCCTTTGTGTTAGAGAGTTCCAAAAGGTCACATCCCTCTCAGTAAAATAACTTCTTTTGTCCAAGTCTACCTGAAAACATTCCCCTCACAACACACATTTCTGCTTAGCTTAGTTTACTTGCCCACATTAACCTATCATTATCTCTCTAAACTCGATGGATCCCTCTCTTAACCTGCCTTTCCACCTAATCTTTGTACATATACATCTTCCAACCTGTTAACATTAAAGAAATATTCTGCACATCAGTTTCTCCAATCAAAGTGGATAACCTCATATTTTCCCACTTTATATTCCATGGTTCCATGCTCTCGCCGACACACTAAGCCTGTCCAAATCCTCCTGAAGCTACTTTACATGTTTCTGACAACACACATCCTCATGGTCTTGATGTTCTGGGTGTTGTAATCCCAAACTGTTCTTCTTTTCAGGAATATTCCTCGTGCCATCTTCATCTCCATCCCCCTGGTGACCTTTGTTTACGTGTTCTCCAATGTTGCATATGTCACTGCAATGAGCCCTCAGGAACTGTTACACTCTGGAGCTGTCGCTGTGGTAAGTGAAGCCTGTTGATCAATTGGGTTTTCTGACCAGCCCAATGTTACCAAGTGAGGAGGGAGCGAGGATTTCTCTCTTGATCGTGTGGAGCTCCTCAAGTTCCATTTATTACCAGAAGGGTTACAGATTTCAGGTCTCTCCCACACCCTGGCCCCAATCAGAGAGCATCTTGCAAAGAGCATTTATTATTCCTCCCTAACTCGTTAACTACTGGACTAATTAGTCAATTAGAAAATTAAGCATTGTCAACCACATTGCTGTGGGACTGGAGTCACATGTAGGCCAGACCAGGTAAGTACAGTACGTTGCCTTCCCTAAAGGGGATATTAGGCAATCGATCACTGAATGGTCACTGTTACTGAGACCAGCTTTCAATACCATATTTATCCATTGAATTTAAAGGGCCCTCAGGTGCTGTGGTAGGATTTAAACTCATGTCCTGAGCTCATTCACCTGGTCCCTGGATTCCTGGCTTAGTGACAATCCCACAATGCCACCATCACCCTGCGCCTTTACAAAACTCTGGTTAGGTCCCAGCTGGAATATTGCACCTAGTTCAGGTCACTGCACTTCAGGAAGGATGTGAGGCTCTTCGAGAGGGTGGAGTGGAGATTTATCAGAATGGTTCCAGGGACGAAGGATTTTAGTGACAAGGTTCGGTTGGAGAAGCTGGGGTTGTTCTCCTGGGAGTGCAGGAGGTTGGAGGGAGATGTGATAGAGGTGTACAAGACAATGGGAGGTTTGGATAAAGGAGACAAGGAGAGACCATTCCCATTGGCTGAGGACACAGGGGCTGGGGGATTTAATTTAAGGTACTGGATAAGGGTGTGAGGAAGAACATTTCTAAACATTGCTAACAAGACACATGAAGTCAGAGCTTTCTGTCTTCGTCATTAGGATTGAAACACAAGGAAACACAACTTCAGAAAGGAAGCACCATCATAGATGCCAGTCTAACAGTTGTAACCCTCTGATCCACAGCATGGGCTCTTAATACAGAAAATAGTCAGTTTTTTTAATTCCCCTGACAGCATTATCTCACTCAGAGCTTTCTATGTGCTCTCAGCTCCTTACTCACCTCTCAAAATTATTTTGTTTAACCCTTTTGACTTCAATATTGGTTTACCCAGTGGTTTCCTTAAATTCTGAAAACTTTATGTATATGACCAGGGCAGTGACTACAATACAGCTGATACAGATTTCTTCCCATTGTCATAATCCTGAGAAGGCTCCTCAGACAGTAAAGCATAAATAGTCTGAGCTTTGCCTGCCAACTAGTTCCACTCCTCATTTGCAGAATTCATTTGCTGAGCAATATTCTCAAATGACATAGAGTCATAAAGTAATACAGCATAGAAACAGGCCCTTCAGCCCAAACTGGTCCATGCTGACCATGGTGCCCGCTCAGCTAGTTCCAACTGCCAGCATTTGGTCCGTATCCCTCTAAACCCTTCCCATCCATGTACCTATCCGATTGTTTTTTTAAATGTTGCTATTGTACCTGCGTCAACCACTTTCTCTGGCAGCCCGTTCCATATACTCACCACTCTCTGTGTGAAGATGTTGCCCCCAGGTCCTTCTTAAATCTTTCCCCTCTCACCTTAAACCTATGCCCTCTAGTTTTCAATTCCTCATCCCTGGGAAACAGACTATATGCTGCATTCATCCTATCTATGCCCCTCATGATTGTATACACCTCAATAAGGTCACCCCTCATTCTCCTATGTTCCAAGGAATAAAGTTCATTCTGGCCAATCTCTCCCTATAAGTCAGGCCTCCTAGTCCTGGCAACATCCTCGTAAATCTTCTTGCCCACTTTCCAGTTTAACTATGTCTTTCCTATAACAAGGTGACCAAAACTGCCCACAATACTCCCAAGTGCAGCCTCACCAACGACTTAACATAATGTCCCAACTCCTATACTCAATGCCTTGACAGATGAAGGCAGCGTGCTAAATGCCTTCTTCACCATCCTGTCCACCTGTGACGCTGCTTTCAACAAACTATGTATTTGTACTCCTAGGTCCCACAATACTCCTTAGGACCTTCCCATTTACTGTATAAGTCTTACCTTGGTTTGACTTTCCAAAGTGCAACACCTCACACTTATCTGTATTGATCCTCAGCCCAATTCCCCATCTGATCCAGATCCCTCTGTAATTTTTGATAACCTTCATCACTGTCAACGATACCTCTTAATTTTGTATCATCTGCAAACTTACTAATCATGCGTTGTACATTCACAATCAGATTATTTATGTAAATAACAAATAACAACGGTCCCAGCACCAACCCCTGTGGCACACCACTGTCAAAGGCCTCCAGTCCAAGAAACAACATTCAAACATCACCCTCTGCTTCCTACCATCGAGTGAACTTTGAATCCAATTAGCTAGCTCTCCCTGGATCCCATGAGACCTAACCTTCATGACCAGCCTGCTGTGTGGGACCTTGTCAAAGGCCTTCCTAAAGTCCAGATAGACAACATCCACTGCCCTACCCTCATCTATCCTCTTGGTTACCCCTTTGGAAAACTCAAAGATTTGTCAGACATGACACAAATCCATGCTCATTATCTCTAATCAGACCCTGACTATCCAAATATTGGTTGATCCTGTCCCTCAGTATCCTCTCCAATAACTTGCCGACCACTGATGTCAGGCTCACTGGCCTGTAATTCCCTGGCTGGTCTTTGCTCTCTTTCTTAAATAATGAAACAACATTAGCCATCCTCCAGTCTTCCGGAACTTCAGCAGCGGCTAAAGGTGAAGCAAAAATCTCTGCCAGGGCCTCTGCAATTTCTTCCCTAGCCTCCCACAACATCCAAGGATGGACTTGATCAGGCCCAGGGGATTTATCCACCTTAATGTGCTTTAAGGCTGCAAACACCTCCTCTCTGGTAACGTGTACACGGTCCAAAACATTCCCACGTGTTTCCCTTATTTCCTTAACATCAATGATTCTCTCCTCAATAAATAGTGAGGAGAAATAATCATTAAAAATCCCTCCCCCATCTCCTTTCGGTTGGGCCAGTGCAAGCTGAAAGCTGAAACATTTCCTGGCTGGGTTGCAAATTATGACTCAGTTTCTCCTGACCAGAGCCTGCATTAGCATTTCATATCTCCTGTTTCAATTCCAACATTTAAGATAATACTCGGCTTCCCTCACTTTAACCCTCTCTTGTATTTCTAACTCTAATTTTCTCATTTCCATCCTTTTTGTTTCTATTTCTCTTTAGCTCTGTCTGCTCTTTCTTTGTCATTTTCTTCCCTTTGGTGTTCCATCACCAGATTTCTTAATTCCCTCAAGTTCAAGAGCTTTAACCTCAATTGAATATCACCTGACTCTGAAGTTTCATTATCCAAAGCGCAGGTTAGGTGGATTGGCCATGCTAAATTGACCAAAGTGTTCATGGTTGAGCAGGCTAAGTGGGTTAGCCATGGGAAATGCAGGGTTTCAAGGATAGTTTAGTGTGTGGGTCTGGGTGGAATACACTTCAGAGGGTCGGCATGGACTTGATGGGCTGAATGGCCTGTTTCCACGCTGTAGGTTTGCTATGATTCTAGAAGTAATTAGACTCTAGCTAGAAATAAACAATTATAAACCATCAGCATATAACAGCATGAATCAAACTAACTCCTTTATAAACTCTCCTTTATACACAGTCAGATAAATGTGACAAGTTGAAAAAACATGAACATAGAGCATGAGAAAACAGTTCAGGAATCCTTGTTCTGGAGAGCCACCAAGCTGGTTCTTGCTGATTGGTTGGTTTCTTATTGTTCTGAATACTTTCACCAGTTTGTAGGAGGTACAGGATGGCTCATTCATTTGCAGAAGTTTTCTGATTTATCAGTTAAAAGCCCCACAGCTTGCAGCAGCCATTGAGGGAAAGAGAAAATGGTTCCCTCAGATTTAAAGTGGCTTTTGCTGCAGAGAACAGAGAGACAGATCCTGCGCTGGTGGAGATCCAGTCACTTCTCTGTATCTTGTTCCTGTGCCCAAGCAACCAGTTACCTAAGAACAAAGCAAACAGGCAAAAGACTTTCCCATCAGTAACTAGTCACTAGTCCACAGACCAATCAACTTCTTATGCCAGCCAAAGCTCCATCTGTAAACCCATTGGCTCCAGTCCATCTGCAAGCTAACCTTCACTGGCTGCTTATACAAACAGCTCTTTGTACAATGCTCACCATGACGGTCAAGGGACTCGCTTTACAAAGCGTGCTGCAACAGTTCTTTCTCATTTCAGTCCACAATTTCAAAAGGCATGAAAATAAAAAGTCACAGTCTTTACAATTCTCTGACCAGTGTCAATAGCTGCTCAGCCCTGACCTTTAAATCCTGTCAGAACGTTGTAGGTTTCAATGACATCGCCCCGTAGTCTTCAAAAAGCCCAGAGAATATCGACTGTATTTCCTCAGCCTCTGATCACCGGGCATCCACTGAAACTTCACCGTCTCACCTCCAATGCATTTTTAAAAATAGCCATACATGGAATTTAGGCATTATGGGCTAGGCATTTATTACCCTTCTCTCATTGTCCTGGAGAAGGTGGTGGTGAGCTGAATTATTTCCAGAAGGATTTGAATTAGCACTGGAGGGAAATAAACCTATGGGGTAATAGGGATCTAGTGGGGAGAGAGTTCTGACTGGCTTGCCCTACAGGGAGCTAGTATGGATTTAATGGGCTAAATGGCCTCCTTCTGTGTTCTAATAACTGTAGCTATATGATAAAGAGCAGGGGTGTTGTCCCTAGTGGTCTGGCCAATAACATACCCTCAAATAACATCTCTAACAAATGGCTTCTCAGTTATTTTCACAGAGCTGCTTGTGGGATCTTACTGTGCACATGTTGCTGCTGTATTTGCTTTACAACATCAATGGCTACATTTCAGCCAACTATTCAATTGGTGTGATGCATTCTGGGACATCCCTGGGGCTGTGAAAGTTGCTATATAAATGTAATACCTTCTTTTTGTTCTGCCAGACCTTTGGTGAGAAGCTGTTGGGATCGATGCCATGGATCATGCCATTCTCCGTTGCCCTGTCAACATTCGGGGGAATCAATGGATACCTATTCACATCATCCAGGTCTCTCCACTCCAGACTCGGTGCTGCCAAACCTCTGGCTCCTGACCCACTGAGTTCCCAAGCCCAGGCCTGTCCTGAAGCTGAGTTTCTGGGTGGTTACCAGGAGGAAGGCCCCTGGGATAATGGTGGTGGGGGGTTACTGAGGAGTGTGTGTGTGTGTTTGTGTGTCTGAGAGCTATCACATCCTGTCAAAGACAAACTGTTCGACAGGCAGAATACAGTCATTGTATTGGATGGTAAGAAGTCTATCTGCTCTCCAATTGGCTTGGGGGACACTAGGCAGCATGAGAATAGACCAATAGCAGGACAGTATGAAAAGGGTGGTCAGCTGACATTATCCCCTGGATGACATCCAACTTGGGCCAGCTCAATGGCAGCATAGAACAAGGCGCAACATGGCCAATGTGTACCCCGTCCGCACTCACAACACCCACCTTTCAAAACCCAGCAAATAGGAGCAGGAGTAGGCCATTCGGCCCATTGAGCATGCTCCACCTTTTTTTGTTGTTTCACAGGATCTAAGCATCAATGGCCAGGCCTGCATTTATTGCCCCATCCCTAAAAGTTAAGAGTCAACCGCATTGCTGTGGGACTGGAGTCACATGTAGGCCAGACCAGGTAAGGATGGCAGTTTCCTTCCCTAAAGGACATTAGTGAACCAGATGGGTTTTCCTGATAATCAGCAATGGATTCATAGTCATCATTAGCCTCTTAATTCCACATATTATTGAATTGAAACCAGGACCCCAGATCATTATCAAGTCGCTGGGTTCACAACCTAGAGGTAATACCACTAAACCATCACAAACACTCTCAATACAGTCCCGGATGATCTGGGCCTTCAGACCCCTTTCCCATCCTTTCCCGATGTCCCGCCATTCCCCAAGATCCCAGCCTTAAAAATATTCAGTGATGCAGCATTCACAACTGTCTGGGACCAAGAGAATTCCAAATATTCACAGCCCTCTGAGGGAAGACATTTCTCCTCATGTCAATCCTAAATGATCATCCCGTTTTCTGAGAGCTCCTGGATACTCTGAGCCGCTCAGTCCTGACCTTTAAACCCTGTCAAAACCTGTAGGTTTCCACGACATCACCTTCAGTCTTCTAAACCCCAGAAACTTCACCATCTCCCCTCCGACCATTCCTTCAATATGGAAACTAAAACTGCACACAGTGTTCCAGGTCTGCTGTTACCATCGCCCTTTATAAATGTTGCCCGACTTCCTCATTCTTGTGCTGAGCCCTGAATCCTAACTTTCAGCTTTCTTTGTACAAGTACACACAACTCCCTCTGAGTGTCAATATTTCAGACTTCAAGTGGTCGTGGGTTTGGAAGGTGCTGTCTAAGGATCTTTGGTGAATTTCTGCAGAGCATCTTGTAGATGGTACACACTGCTGCTACTGAGCGATGATGGTGGAGGGAGTGGATGCTTGTGGATGTGGTACCAATCAAGTGGGGGCTGCTTTGTATTTTTCATAAGCATCCTGGGAGTGTTTGATGGGTGACAGTGTAGAGGGAGCTTTACTCTGTATCTAACCCCGTGCTGTCCCTGTCCTGGGAGTGTTTGATGG